CTCACACCTGCCTAAGGATCTGGAAGGGAGTTTGGGTGCTGGGTGCGGGCTCTGGGCTGGGGCAGAGGGTATGGGTTCAGGAGGGGGTGGCAGGTCTGGGAGGGAGTTTGGAAGGAGGAGGGGGCTTGAGGGTGCAGGCTCTGGGAGGAAGTTTGGGTGTGGGAGGGGTTTGGGTTGCAACAGAGCCCCCCATACCACTCTCGCTGGACACACTATGCCCAGCACCCCCACCCACAAATCCACAGTGCTGTGAACACCACCACTTCCCCACCCTCACCCCACCTCAGCCAAAAGAAGCAAGGGAAGGGGAGGAACCCGGGAGGTGTAGGGGGGCAGCAGGTGGAACTCGGACCCAAACGTTGGTGGAGACAGGCCCCTAGGTACAGAATATTCCTGGAGCCCAAGCACCACGGGCTCATGCAACTCGCCAGCCCTGCAGCAAAGCTATTATTGTGCCTTTCTCCAGTACAGGTGAGACAGACAGACACACACAATGTATTGCTGCTGTGTGTGGCCTTGTCTACACTACAGATAACTGAGCATAATGAAGCATGGCAGATTACTGCTTCTCATTCTCAAAATGTTGCCTAAAAGCCTCCCTGATTCAAATAGCCCCCATTGTGCCCCTCCAATAGCCATGCTATCTGGCTGCTCAAAATCAGCATTCAGGTGATCTGGCTCAGCACTCCACCCCAGGCAAGCTTTTCACCCTTAGCCCCACAGGCAGCTCTGACCATTGGAATGTTTTCCTCACTAAGAAATAACCTTCCCTAAAGGCATCGCCAGCGCACTTTTAATCTGCCAAAGGCACATTCCACAGTCATTCTAATCTACTCAGTCTGTTGTTGAAACGCTCCTTGCTGCTGTCCAGGTTTCCCATTTAAGGCTCCATGAGCCATGGGAGTAAGGGATACGCTGGGTCTCCCAGGATCACTATGGGCATTTCAACATCCCCCACTGGAATCTTTTGGTCTGGAAAGAAAGTCCCTGCTTGCAGCTTTCTGTGCAGGCCAGTGCTCCTGAAGATGCACACGTCATGCACCTTCCCCGACCACCTCACGTTGATGTCAGCAAAGCACCCACAGTGATCTACAAGTGCCTGCAATAACATAGAGAAGTGCCCGTTTCTGTTGATGTACTCCGTTACAAGATGGTCAGGGGCCAAAATTGGAATATGCATTCCATCTATCTACATGCTGCAGTTAGGGAATCTCATTTCCACAACGCCATTCACTATTTCACGTACATTGCCAAAAGTCATGGTCCTTTGTAGCAGGATTCAATTAATGGCCCTGCACACTTGCATTAATGCAGCCCCTGCAATGGATTTCAAACTGATTCCCAACCACCAGGTAGCAGTCAAGGGTCGCCAGCTTCCACACTGCAATCGCCACACACTTCTCCACCAAGAGGGCAGCTCTCATTTTGTTGTCCTTGCACTGCAGGGCTGGGGTGAGCTCTGTACACAGTTCCAGGAAGGTGGTTTTCTGCACCCACTGCTTGTCATCTCAGAGCTGCATAACAATGTGATCCCACCAATCAGTGCTTGTTTCCCAAGCTCAAAAGCGATGGTCCACTGTGTTCAGCTGCTCCATGAACGCCAAAAGTAATCTGGTGTTGTTTCTTTCCATGTCACACAGTGGATCAGGCAACTCTGGTTCCTGTTCAGATTGGGAGCTCATGATATACTGCATGACCATCCACGATGTGTTCGTAACAGCGACCACAACAGTAGAGATCAGTGCAGGATCCATCTTTTCAGACAGAGATGGCAGGTGCACAGTAAACATTGAAAAATGCCACAGAATGCAGTCGAAAGCCCATGGAATGCTGGGATGGAAAGAACTGCATCATGGGACATTGATTCCACACCCATGATGCACTGCAATCCACTCCACCTTCCCACAACACCTAGCTGTGGAATGTGGTGAGTAGCACACTGAGGTAGGTACCCACAGTGCACTGCTCTCACTCTCAGTGCTACAGCACCAAGTGTGGATGCGCTCTGCTGACACAAGGACCATAGTGTGGACATGGAATAGCGATGAAATTATAACACTTTTAGATCGTCGGCATAACTTGTATCAAAAGCACTCTCTAGTGTAGACAAGGCCTGAGACTGTCGTGCAAAGCAGTGCAATGACACAGAGTTACTTACCTCAGCAGCAGGACCTGCCCTTGTGCCCCCACCGCGATGTCCGGCAGTCCGTCCCTCGTCAGATCTGTCCCGCCACTGACAGCCTGGCCAAAGTAGTGCAGCCTGCTGGGAAACTGTGACCCCACTATGCGCTGTAGGGCAGAGAGAGCAATAAGGGATGCAGAAGGGGTGAGTGTACTATATAATGAGCACTAGGGGGCACCAGAGGATATGAGCTAGGAAAGGGGTGAGTATCCTGTATAATGGGCACTAGGGGGCTGTGGGACCCCATGCTGTCCCTTCAGGGCTGTGTACTGACCCCTCCCCATAGGAGCTGGGCTCACCTGTCTGTACTGGGGACTGAGGCCTCCCTTTTCCCCATGGAAGATGTACAAGGCTCCATGATTGTCATTCTCCATGGGAGCCCCGATGGCCACATCCGTCTGTCCGTCCCCGCTGATGTCCCCGATTTCAGACATGCTGGCCCCGAAGTGCCCAGACACTTCCCCCGTCTGCCCATGTAGTGTCTTGGTGCAGATCATCGTCGTCCCCTGCAGGAGCAATCCAAAAAGACACATGAGGAAAGGATCAGCACTTGCTGTCATCAGAGAGTGATCCCTACCAAGCTCCTTCCCCTCTCTCAGCAGCACAGTGTGTGTGTCCCCTCCCGACTCTGGGTCCTGGGGTCAGAACTGACTGGGAGGGAAGAGTGCCCCCTACTGAGCCTCTACCCTGCTTCCTGGAGCACCATGGCCCTTACTGCAATACTAATTGTCACAGCACCACAGCAGTCCAGGCAAACAATAACCCCCGGACACCCATCTTCCCCCCCCGCACTCCTCTTTCTTACCGGCAAGTTAATCGGGCAGATATAGACGCGTCCTCCATTCAGGGGTGTATGGAACAAAGGGGCTCCGATTAGAATCAGGTCCATGTTTCCATCTCTGTCGAGGTCCACAGTGGACAGTATACTCCCAAAATACGAGCCGTTCTGGAGAGGCAGATAAGCCACCCCCTTAATTTAGTCACCTTCTGCTTCTTCTTCCACTGGGACCCTTCTCACCCTCTGGGGATACGGATTCAGTCCCAATGTCCATTCCATCCTTAGCCTCACTCTCCTTCAGTGCAGCCAGTGGCGCTAGCTCTGTAAGCATTCTTGAACAGACAGGCAGCTAGATCTTGGAGGGACGGGAATGCTGAATGCTAACTGTGGTGCAATTCTTTTCAGAGGTTGGGCTATCACAAGTCAAGTTCATCACTGACTGAGCCACTGTTATAGGTTTTGTTTAGGTGGCATGTACAGGCAATTGGACTTAGAGAAATTCACTTTGTTAGTGTAGTGTGATCTTTTACAGACACTGTTAATATCACTAGTAATGTTATTTCCTTGCCTGAGTCTCTCTAGCCTAGATCCACAAAAGGTATTTATGTGCTTAACCTCCTGGACTTTACTGCCTCTGTGAGCTGCAAAACCTCTGCCTGGCTGCCGCTGACCCCTGTAGGTGCCTAAACTGAGTTGGTGTCTAATTTTTTCAGCAGAAGCTCCTTTGTTGCTGTTTCAAGGGCAGGGCTTGTGCCTTTACTGTCTTACTCTAAGCATGCGGTTGCCCGGTGCCCATTTCTCCCTCCATCCATCCCAGCCTGGGGGAAGACAGGTGCTCCTCCATCTAACTCCTCCTCCACCTCCAGTAGGTGTTGTCAGAGGAGAAGGAATTGAACAGGCACCTGTTATTTCTCAGTTCAGTGCTCTAACCCCTGAGCTGTGGGATATTCTGATGTGGGCTCCCTCCGTCTCCCCTCTTAAAGTTCTTCCACTTTAATTGAGTAATTAAGTATCAGTTGGGCCACAGAACATGTGCAAATCACAACCACCCTAAAGCCTGAGAGACGGCAGCTACCTGGTTAAATCTTTCTAATCAAGCAAAGCCGGGATTTGAACCAGGGGTCACCCATGTCCTAGGTGAGGACTCTAACCCACAGGCTATATGGGAAACCTCTCTTGTCTCCTCCAGCTGGTTTGTGAATATCTCGGCAGCTCTGACCATGCCTATTGGATGAGACCCAACATGTGGGGTAGGTGAAGAGTGCCTGTGTCTCTCTCTCCCCTCCCACCATTCATCGATCGCTGTCAGAGGCAGGTGCCTCCCTGCAGCATCACAATGCCTAAGTCCCTTGCTGGGTCTGGGCCTCTGTCCATATCCACCTTACGAGTTCCATCTAGACTGTAAGTGAAGGTAACAGAAGTGGGATATTGGAGAGATGCTGAATGTCAGCTGTGGTGCAGTTCTCTAAACCAGTCAAGTTTATCCCTGCCTGAGGCTCTCTGACCGAATCGTTCCTGAAGGTGAAGCCAAACACAAATATTACATGATATCAAAAGCTTACAGGCATCCTCTAGTGCTCTCCTTCTCTCACACCCACACTCCACATTACCTGTAACACTCCCCATACCTGCTCTCCCAACAGCTCCGATCCGGGTGTCCATTCCCCACCCTTGGTATCTCTGCTGAACTGGAGGACTTTGCCGGTGCCTTGGCATAGAGGGGCCCCAACCATGTAGATGCTCTGCCCATTGGCTGTGATGACCTGAGATGAATAACCTCAAAGGAAAGAGAGACATGGGGACGTGACATGGGAAACAGGCATACAACAGTGTGATGGGTTGGAACACCCCGTCTGGGATGCCACCTGATGTACTGGGTTTTCACTGAGCCTCTCCTGCTCCACCAGCCTGGATTCCCTCTCCCTGTTTTGCTGAATTAGGCTCTCTGGTTATGCAGCACACACTCACAGGTAGGGCCACACCCAGCGCCAGACACAGACTGAAGTTAGCTCTATGTGAGAGGACTCACCTGGAACTCACGTGCACACCCTTTGGGGAAATAAACTCGAAATAATACTGTCTTACACTGTCCAGAGAGATCTGCACAGCGCAAGCTCCTAAAAATTCACCCTCTCCCTCAATGTGGAGAGAGATGTGCACTGCTTCTTGCACCCTCCAGGTATGAATTGTACAAACTGAGTTATACTATAAACAAGAAATAACTTTATTAACTACAAAAGGTAAATTGTAAGTGATTATAAGGGAAAGCAAACAGAACAAAGCAGATTATCTTAATAAATACATAAAACCTGCAAACTCAGCATAACACACTAGATAGTTAGGATACAAATTAGCAGATTCTCACCCTGAGTGATAAACAGGCAGCACATTCTTAAGGCACAAGTTGCCTTGGCTTTCCCAAGTTTTCATACTCAGGCTAAAAATCCCTCTAGCCTGGGACCATCACTTCCCACAGTTCAGTCTTTGCCTCTCAGATATTTCCAGGTGTGTTGTTGTAGGGAGAGTGAGGTCCCCCATGATATCATTGTCCCCTTTTTATATCTTCTTCCCACTCACTGTAAAGCTCTTTTGCTGTGACCTGGGCCAAACAGTTCCCATTGTGTGGTGCTATCTCTGAGAGGTTTGTATTGTACCCACTTCCTGGGGTAATCCGTGTGCTTATGTGAATTTACTCTATAAGCGATTAACACTGTTTGGACTTTTTACCGTTGTACCTGAAAGGCTGCTTGTGGGTGTTGTGAACCTCACCACACGTTTCAGTAACACATACGTAGCCAAACTTCATAACTTCACATAGAACGATAAAACACACAATCCAATGAGATTTATGTTTAGCAGATCAAGATTTTTAGAATAATCCCTCACAAGACATACTTTGTACAAAACATATCGTAATTACATGACAGTGGTGAATATTAGGGTGTCGGGGTGTCACAAACAGTGCTACACAGAGATCCCTTCCCCAGAACTAAGATGCAGCCACCTCTGGGGTGATGAGCAGGGGCTGTTTAAGTAGGTAAAAGGAAATCTTTTTTTTTTTTACCCAGGTAAGCATCATTCTTGTCCTCAGAGGTTCTGGGTATGTTGTTGAAACTCAGCTTCCCACTGCTCCCGTACAGGTATATCCCACTGGACCAGTCATAGGTTCCCACCACTCCCAGCTCTGGATTCCCAGCAGCTCCCCGTCCCACAGAATCATAGAATATCTGGGTTGGAAGAGACCTCAGGAGGTCATCTAGTCCAACCCCCTGCTCAAAGCAGGACCAACACCAGCCAGGGCTTTGTCAAGCTGGATCTTACAAACCTCTAAGGATGGAGATTCCACCACCTCCCTAGGTAACCCATTCCAGTGCTTCACCACCCTTCTAATGAAATAGTGTTTCCTAATATCCAACCTAGACCTTCCACACTGCAACTTGAGACCATTGCTCCTTGTTCTGTCATCTGCCACCACTGAGAACAGCCGAGCTTCATCCTCTTTGGAACCCCCTTCAGGTAGTTGAAGTCTTCTATAAAATCTCCCCTCACTAGTCTCTTCTGCAGAGTAAATAAACCCAGTTCCCTCAGCCTCTCCTCATAAATCATGTGTCCCAACCCCCTAATCATTTTTGTTGATCTTTGCTGGACTCTCTCCAATTTACCCACATCCTTTCTGTAGTGGGGGGCCCAAAACTGGATGCAATACTCCAGATGTGGCCTCACCAGTGCCGAATAGAGGGGAATAATCCCTCAATAATTCCCTCAATCTGCTGCCAGTGCTCCTACTAATGCAGCCCAATATGCCGGCCATCTCGACCTTGAAAACCCATTTCTAGAGCCCCAGGGCCACTGCGGCCCCTGCCCCAGCTCTGTTACCTTCCAAGATGATGATCTTGTCCTGCAACTGGGTCTCGATGCACTCGAGGGTGTCGAAATTGTCCACCCCGAAGATATGCTTCCTGGTGGGCTCAGAGGCGATCTCCTGGAGCTCCTGTTGGGCAGTATCACTGGAGAAGGCATTGCCGACCTTCACGGAGCAGAGGGAGGTACAGTGGAGACAAGGGCATCAGCATCAATCACAGCCAAGAGCCCATGGCACGTAGCCACCCATCCTGAGCCCTGCTGGGCCCTCAATAGGCACGGCTCGGCCAGCACCCTGGGCTGCTCCAGTGAGTGTGAGGGTGGGGAGCTGAAACATCTTGGCACAAGTGTCACTCTGTTTTGAGGATACAGACCCACAAGCCTGAAGTTTTGGAACCTGTCTCATTTCAGCTCTGAGTTGTGTCAGTTGCATCAGCGGCGGGGCACAGAGAGCATCTTGCCATGGGGACTGTCAGCACTCTGGGGCCCTTTGTGATTCAATCTCCAGGGTGTAGTGAGGGGTGAGTGCGGGCAATGTCTCTGGGGGACATCTCCGGGCAAGGGGTGAAGGGGTGGGACCACTGCGCTAGGCCGGGTGGGTGGTGTGCAGTCGGTTCAGCAGTGGAGTCAGGCACCTCCCAGTCACTGGCAGGAGCGGTGCCATGGTTTTTGCCGACCTAGGCGGCAGCCCTCCTCCTCTGAGCATTTGCTGGTGGGGGGTCCTTCTGCGCCGCGTCTTCGGGGCACTTCGGCGGCAGGTCCTGGAGTGAGTGAAAGACCCGCCGCCGAATTTCCGGCGAAGACCCAGAGCGGAAAGACCCTCCGTTGCCGAATTTCTGCCGAGAGCGGCAAAATGCCACCCCTCAAATCCTGCCGCCCTAGGCGACCGCCGGCCCTGGTCACTGGTTCCAGCAGGGATTACTGGGATCGGTTCTCTGGCCCATGCTACACAGGAGCTCAGACTAGATCATCGCAAAAGTCCCTTCTGGCCTGGGAATCTGTGACTCTAAACCCGAGTTTGTTGATGAAAGGCAGCTTACGTCGACCTACCTCGGTAAGCGGCTACACTGCAATGTAGCTCCCACCCATGTAACTCGCCCACTGCACCGACTTCATAACTCCACTTCCACAAGAGGCGTTGCTTTTAGGTCAATGTACTTAGGTTGATGCAGTGTCCATATAGTCACTGTGTGGCTTACATAGCCTGGGGCTCTGGCTGTTGGCCCCGGGCCATCGGGCTTCAGCAGCCAGCACCCCACAATGGCCCGCACTGACAGTTAAATCAGTATAAGGTCCCCTGGTGAGGACGCGCGCCGCCAACAGGAGAGTAATGTGGACATGAAAAAACGATTTAATTCCCGCGGTGGCTGTGTGATGACGTAACTTAATTCGACTTAAGTTGTGTAAACTTTCCCTTTGTCTTGCTGCTGATGCCCATTTCAGTCTCAGCAGTTTAATGGAGATAAATGTCAAGTGATTGAGATCAGTTTGGGGAGGATCAGAGCTGTTGTTTGAGCCCCAGGGATGTGCAAAAAGGGCTTTATAAGAACTGGGTGACTTTGCTGTTTAACTGCGGGGGGGAGGGGGTTATCTCAGAAACCCCTTGTTCAAATGACCCAGAATTTAGACCACTGATCTTAACCTGCATCCTCATGAGGCAAACCAAATGTTATGACAATCTGATCAGCACATGGACTGTAGGGCAGGCAGAAAACCCAACCTTTAACTAGAAAGTGCCGCTCAACCTGAACCACAGAGAAGCTCCGGCTCTCCTATAATGTCACACGTTGGCCCAGTTACAACCCAGGGGGTCAGTTCTTCTCCCTTATCTGATGGGAACCCCCTCGCCATCCCCTGTCCTTGGACATGGTCTCAGATCCATACTAGTTCTCCGCATGGCCGCAGCTCACCCCGATGGCGTAGCGGATGATCCCAGCTCTCTCAGCCTCAGGTATGACGTTCTTATAAGAAAGTGGGTCTCCAGTTTTCTTCCCATCTGTGATCACCATGAGAATCTTGGTGGCTTCGTCCCGAGCGCCTCTCCCAGAGGTGAACAGCTCCCGCCTGGAAAAGGGGGGTGGGGAAGGCATGGGAGGGTTATTGATACGTAACAACACCTAGCGCTCGTCCACTGCTTTGGCATTACAGTTCTCAAAGTCCTTTACAAAGGAGGTCACTGTCATGTCCCCATTTTACCAATGGGGAAACTGAGGCACACTGCGGGGCTGTGACTTGCTCAGAAGCTCAGAGCTGGCAATAGACCCCGGGAGTCCTTGCTCCCAGCATCTCCCTCCCCGCTCTAACCTGCTAGTGCCCATCCCCCTCTCAGAGTCGGGCACAGAGCCCAGGAGTCCTGATGCCCAGCCCCCTGCTCTAACCACTAGTCCCCAGTCCCTTCCCACAGCTGGGGATGGAACTCAGGGGTCCTGAGTCCCTGTCCCTTAGCTCACATGTCCTTACAGCCCATTCCCTGTGGAGTCAGCATGGGGAGGAGGGCAATACCTACACCACTTTCCGGATGGCGGTGGCCGTGTGCGTCCAACCCGTGAGCTGCACGACTGCCCCGACAAGGTCATCAGGGTTGCTGCTCCCCTTGTACTGTGAGAAGTCGAAATGCTCTTTAAATTCATTCGAGTACTGCATGAGGGCAAACTGCAGGAGATGGGGAGAAGAGAGAAAAACAACCCAAGGGGTGGAGGGTAAGAAAAGCAGGAGTCAGACTCAGTTAAGGGCTGGGGCAGGCGGTCAGGATGTAGCTGGTTCTGCAGGAATTTTTTCCTCGTTTTGGATGCAAAATCCATTGCTGCGCCCTGCAGCACAGCGCCCCCTAGTGCTGCACTGGGGCATTGGGGTCAGCACTGACTGCGGGGGGCAGGGTACGTACTCAGGGTTCAGCCTCTGCCTGTTACCTGCGTGTTGGTTTTGCGGAAACGCTTCATGATCTCAGAGACAAACATCTTCATCTTTTCAAAGTCCACAGGTGCGATGCTGGTTGAGCCGTCGATGAGGAGCGCTATGTCCGTGACATGTTTGGGGCACTCTGAGAGGGACAGGAATGAAGGACGTCCTGACTCAACTCCACAAACATGGGAAACCATCAGAAAGAGCTAGACCAGACCAGTGGGAGCATCTAACCTGATATCCCGCCCCCTGCCGGCCACCCCAATCAGGCCACCCTCGGCCCCTCTGTTGTAATATCATCCTGTCCCTGCCATGGAGGGGTCCTGAGAGTAGAGCATGACAAGCACTGGGATGAAAAAAATATACCCCACCCGCCTCCCAGAGCTGGGTCAGAACCCAGGAGTCCTGACTCCCAGCTCCTACTGACATCCTGAATCAAACCAATGAGCTCACTTAGCCTGCTATCCCACCCCCTGCCAGACCCTGGGCCCCACCACCTTTCCATGGCCCGTGACCACAGGGTGTAAGTGGCCCCACACATGCCACAGTGTTACCCCTCACCTGGCTGGGTGTCTGGGATGCGCTGGAGTTGCGAGAAGCTCTGCTGCAGGGGGTAGCAGTTGTGACTGACGTACTTGTTCTCCCCACAGGCCTGATGCTCCATGGGGATGCACACCTGGGGCATGAGAAGGACGGGGTCAGTAGGTGCCCCTCTGAACAGAGCACTGAGGGTGGGGGATAGAGCCTGGGGCCTGATCCCTCCCCTGCCATGGATATGCAGGGAAAGGCCCTGCCAGGGCAGGAGCCTCCTTGGGGCAGACGGGACCTCAGGACCCCAAGTCCCAGCACCTAACTCCGAAAGGAGACAGGGGAGTCACATGGGGGCATCACCTGCTTACCACACTCCCTGCTATAGCAGTGTCTAATCACTGTTGCCATGGCAATGTCACCCGCTTGCCATGCTCCCTGCTATGTCCATGTACAGTCACTATCACCATGGAGACAAGCCAGTTACAACGCTTCCTGCTACATCAGCACACAGTCATTGTCACCATAGCAACATCAGCCAGATGCCTCCATCCCTCACAACATCATCTCACGGGGTCACTGTTGCCAAAGCGAGGATACCTGGCTACCACCATTCCCCACGGCATCATTCTACCACCCCTCCAGTTACAGGTGTTACCAACAGCCCTCGCACAGTTATTGTGTAGTCATGGGGATGTCACCCAATTGTCACCTCTGCACCATTGCTCCAGCCACACTGACGCCGCTCAGTTACTACCATCCATGAGTATTGGGGTTTGGGGAGGGAGCTGTCCCATGGAATGACGAGGGAGAAAATGTCGGACCCCAGTCCCAGCACCCATCTCCCCTGGGTGTGGTACCTACCTGGAACTGGGAGCCTCGGGCAGCCAGAGACAAACTGAGGGACATGTCCATGGCATCTGGGGACCCTGACAGGGGACAGATGCACACCAGGGTGAGCAAATAAATTCCACTCCACTCCCAGAGGTGAGGATAGAAATGAGTATTCCTGGTTCCCAGCCCCCCCATCCCGCTCTAACCCACTAGACCCCCCTTCCCTCTCAGAGCTGGGGACAGAACCCAGGAGTCCTGGCTCCCACCCCAATCCTATTGCTGCCCCCCACAGTACAGGGTGCCCCTACTCTGGATGGGGATCTCCTGGCAGCGTCTGGAGTCCGGGTCGCACTTGTAGACTTTGCCTGTTTCATTCACATTTCCTGTCTGCAGCGGGGCCCCGATGATCAGCCTGTGGGGAAAAAGTATGGGGGGCTCAGGGAATACCCCACACTGCCAGGGGACTGAGGCCCAGGGGAGGCAGCCCAGCCACACATGCCCCTCAGCGTTGGGCACAAGTCATGTGGGGTCCCATGTTCGGCCCTTACCCCCCGCCGCTGGCACTCCCGATCTGCAACATGCTCTGCCCAAACCCTTCAGCTGTCTCCTGGAAGGTGATGGGTCCCTCCACGTCCACACTGAATCCACGGCTCGGTGCCAGCACTGCAGGGTTAAACGGTCTCCAGTTAGAACTTCCCCTATGAAGACCATGCCAGTGGCTGGGGCTTTCTGGCTATGGGATTGCATTCTAGCCCTTTTATGTAGGGACTGTCCAGTTTGGCCCATGTACATGAGAAATGGACATAAATCAGATATTAGGAATGGCAATATACAAAAACCTGTAGGAGAAAACTTCAATCTCCCTGGCCACACAATAGCAGATTTAAAGGTAGCCATCCTGCAGCAAAAAAAAACTTCAGGACCAGACTTCAAAGAGAAACTGCTGAGCTTCAGTTCATTTGCAAATTTGACACCATCAGCTCAGGATTAAACAAAGACTGTGAATGGCTATCCCACTACAGAAGCAGTTTCTCCTCCCTTGATGTTCACACCTCAACTGCTAGAAGAGAGCTTCATCCTCCCTGATTGAACTAACCTTGTTATCTCCAGACTGATTCTTGCCTGCATATTTATACCTGCCCCTGGAAATTTCCATTACATGCATCTGATGAAGTGAGTATTCACCCACGAAAGCTTATGCTCCAATACGTCTGTTAGTCTATAAAGTGCCACAGGACTCTTTGTTGCTTTTTGCAGATCCAGACTAACACAGCTACACCTCTGATACTGGACAGTGATGAAGAATTCACCACAACTCTTGGCAAACCGTTCCAATGGTGAATTACACTTGCTGTTAAAACTGTCGGCTTTATTTGCAGTCACAGGCCATGTCTACACTACCACTTATGTGGGCAAAACTTATGTTGCTCAGGGGTGTGAAAAAACCACACCCCTGAGTGACACAAGTTTAACCGCCATCAGTGGTAATGTGCAGAAAGAGATGGCGGCAGAAGAGCTGCTCATTGAGATTGTTTAATTACGTTGACCGGAGAGCTCTCGCCCATCAGCATAGAGCGGCTACACAAGTGATCTTACATTGTCACAGCTACATCGGTACAGCTGTGCTGCTGTAAGATCGCTAGTGTAGACAAGGCCTTAGATTTTCTAGTGTCAACTTTCAGCCATTCGATCATGTTAGACCTTTACCTGCTAGATTAAAGAGACCAATGTTAAATATTTGTCCTCCTCATAGCTACTCAGACTGGGATTAAGTCAGCCCTTAACCTTCCCTTAACTAGACTGAGCTCCTTGAGTCTATCACTATGAGGCAGGTTTTCCAATCCTTTCGTTAGTCTCCTGGCACTTCTCTGACCCCTCTCCAATTTATCGACATCCTTCGTGAATTGTGGGCACCTGAACTGGACTCACTATTCCAGCAGCAGTCACACCAAGGCCGTATACAAAAGTAAAATAACCGCTCTGCTCCTACTCGAGGGTCCCCTGTTCATGCATACAGAGATCGCATTAGCCCGTTTGGTCACAGCATCGCATTGGTCAGTTTGTGTCGCAGGAGTCAAAGCTGAGTCTCTCCAAACTCATGTCACACACAAAACACCAAACAGCCAGTGGATGGCTACACTGAACCCCAACCACACAGGGTATCTAACTCTCCTGATGCAAAGCTCGCCGCATGGGACTGACTGGGAGAAGGGAGTGAGTGGGGAAACCCCTCCTCGACTGGCTGTCTTTCCCCACATCCCTCACCTCCTGGAGAAATGCTTCTGCAGGAGGCAAGCAAGGCCAAGAGGAATTGTGGGAGAGAAGTAGGGATGTAATAATCTCTCAGGGTGGCTCTGCTCTTCTCCCCCTTCCCCCGCCTGCTCCATTCCTGTAAGCCCGGACCTGGGAAGCAGAGTCCCGTGCTTGGAGCTGCCCCCTTTAGGCTTGGAGGCGGTAAAGAGCCTCCAGATTTGCAGGAGGAGCAAATGTGGGACAAGGTGGGGTGCAGAATTGTGAGGCTGGTGGGCGGGGTTGGAAAATTGTGGGGCTGGCTGGACAAAAGGGGGTGCTGGGAGAGCGGGGGCAGGCTCCCCCAATTTCCCCTTCTTAGGCCTTGTCTCCCAGTGTGCCTCAAAGCCCCAAGTCTGTCATCCTTATTCTCAGCCACCACAAAGTCTGCCCTCCCCCAGGCCCTGCGAGGTCCCAGCCTCACAGACAGAGCAGACGTGACTTTGAAGCAGGAGGAACCTGTGGTGACTTTATAGCAATTACTGTGCCAACCTCGTCCACTTCTTGCCCACCAACCCCATCCCCAGCCCACATCCTACCAAGCACACATGCCGCACGGAGAGGGAGAGTCATACACACCCCCATGCCCTCCCAAAGAGACCCAACAAATGCCCACATCTCAGTGCCAGGTGAGCAAATCGCTGTACAAACAGCTCCTATGCCCCACCCCAGAAGTGCCTGCATCCCAGTGCCAAATAACTTCATGGATTCCATGCCAGCAAAATATGGATTTCATGTGCATTGTAACATGTTTTGATGTGGTATTTTCTAACAAAACAACCTCTGTAGAATGAGAATTATAATCCGGGTCAAAACATAGTCTTCACCTGCATATGCAAATATATCCACACCAACTTTAGACTACACCCTGAACTGTTCATTGCTTATCAACATAGCCTCTTTTACTCTGTTTAGGTTGGCACTGGGGGCCTGTTTCACACATTTTAACAATTTCTCTCTCATTGTTCATTTGTGGCCAATACCATATCTCTCCGGCTCTGCACTTACATTTCTCCATGTCCAAGCGTCCTTCATGTCCTCTTGTGAGCATGTCAGCTGGGAACATGTTGATATGTAAGGTCTTGACCACTCGATGTTAATAGCCTTGAATACCCTCAGTAAACTCCCATCCCTAGCTATTGCTTCAGCAAATTCATTCCAAAACCTTTCTGAGACTGAGCACCAGACCCCACACCCATCTCAGAGCTGGGAATAGAGCCCAGGAGTCCTGACTCCCAGATCATTCAAGCTTCCCTTTTTCTAGTCCTTGAGGGCCATTTTACATTAATCATACCATGCATTCATTTGCATAGCAGCAGAAACTCCCAAGTGAAGACTAACTATCAGGAACGGATTTAGCACTGGTGAATGAAGCCCTTGATTTATTTCTTGCTGACCCAGATTCATAGGGGGCAACGGGGAACACTTTCTGTAGGGTAGCAGGGGCAGATCAGCCTTCATAGAATTACAGACCATAACGCCAGAAGGAACCGCTTTGAGCATCTAGTCTGACTGTGTAACACGAGCCAGAGAGCTTCTCTGAATTAATGCCTGTTTGAACCAGACTGGAACATTTAGAAAAAGATCCAGTCTTGATTTGAAATTTCCAGTGACAGGGTGTTAGACCCTCAGCAGGGGCCTTTTTACGGGATGGGGGAGCAGGCAGATACTGGACACGGTGTTGCTATATAATACTTTAAATACTTTTTATGGTTTACAAAATGGATCATATTTATTTTACATTTATACCCCAAACATACTATACCAGAGCCCAGTAGTTAGACGTTTTGATGGTTAATTGGGGTTTAGTTTAGTTACAAGGTGCAGGGAGTTTACAAATACCACACCATATATAAACAGGGTTTTGGATTATTGAAAGACTTGAAATTGCAAATGTGTGAAGCTTTTATTTATAATTTACTTTGTGATGTTATTCTTTTTTTGTTTTTGTTGTTTTGGGCCTTTACCCTTTGTTTTAAAGAGACAATTTTGGGCAGGCTGCCATGATCCAAGGCACGCCATTTTTAAAAAATGTATACATTTTTATAGCAGTTCCACTGGTGTTATTTCCTTATCTGCAGATTATTCATTTTTTCCAAGGACATAACAAAGTTGTTTGGTACAAATAGGTTTTGACCACTCGACCTTTAAGTTCTTGCTTTGATTGCTAAAATGCAGGTCATGGACTCAGGTTTCAAACACACAACAGCCACACTAGACCCCATGGCCTATACCATATTACATAGATATATAGATTTTTTATATCCCAATATTCCCCCTTTTGGTACATGATTAATACCATTAATTATTATATTACTTTATAATTTTGCAAGCAATTTAATTTTATATATTATTTGCCTTAGAACTTTTTGTTGCTTTTTTATTTGGCAGTATAAACATAACATAACAGAGGTTAATAACATTATTAATATAAATAGTATAACCATAGGATGTAACATTAAATTGGGAAAAGCTGTAAAGCTTGGAAGACCATTTTTAAAAAACATTATACCAAGGGTGGACTGTTAGTTTTTGGGGTGTTGTTTTTTTAAAAATTTTAATATTTGGCCATTGTGGACTGGAATGTTTTTTTTTAACTGAGCACATTTACATATAATTCACTTTGTGATGTCATTAGTCTTGTGTGTCTTTTTGTCTTTGGCCTTCACCCTCTGTTCCAAAGAGCTAGCCCTGGGCAGGCTGCCATGATCCAAGATTCACCATTTCCTCCAATTCTTATACATTTTTATAACAGTCCTGCTGGGGTAATTTCCTTATCTGCTGATTTTTCATTTTTTTCAACGTGTTTTGTACAAATAGGTTTTGACCACTTGATCTTGAAGTTTTTGCTTTGGTTGCCAAAATGCAGGTCATGCACTCATGTTTCAAACGCACAAGAGATACACTAGGCCCCATAGCATATATCATATTACATATTATATCCCAACAAAGGAATCCACCATCACCCTCAGTAAATTGTTGCAGTGGTTAATTACTCTTGCTGTTAAAAATGTTACGCCTTATTTCCAGTCTAAATTTGTCTAGCTTCAACTTCCAAGGGCATTAGATTGTGTTAGACCTTTGTCTGCTAGACTGAAGAGTCCATCATCAAACATTTGTTCCCCAGGTAGGTATTTATAGACTGAGATAAGCACTTATCAGTCTTCACTTCATTCATCTAATTAGTGATCGATTGAGCGCCTTGAGTCTCTCAGGGAGGTTTTCTAATGTTTCAATCATTCTCATGGCTGTTCTCTGAACCCTCTCGAATTCATCAACATCCTTCTTGAACTCTGGGCTCCAGAACTGGCCACAGGAGTCCAGCAGTGGTTGCACCAGGACCAAATACAGAGGTAAAATAAACTCTCCGCTCCTACCTGAGATTCCCCTGTTTATGCATCCAAGGGTTGGCCGCAGCATTGCACTGGGAGCAACTTGGCCCAGGCAGTTCTTGGTCTCTCTGCTGAGTCTATCAATTAGTGCAGGGTGGCCTGGTAAGCTTGTGTTGTGGGAGCCATAGCTGGGACCCACCAAACTCATGTCACACAAGAAACACCAAACAGCCAATCAGTGGCAAAAGTGAATCCCTAACGCACAGCGTAGCCAACTCCCCTAAGGCAGAGTTCTCCTCCCTTCTGCCCTCGTCCTCCCAACAAGGCGAGGCCTGGGAAGGAGAATCCCCTTGGAGCCGCCACCTCCAGGCAGAGGAGGTGGTAAAGACCCTCCAGAGCTATAGGAGGAGAAGATATGGAGCAAAGTGGGGCTGGGTGGGTGGGGACTGGGGGCAAAGGAGCTGAGGGTGGGGGAGGAGCTGAGGTGTCCTCCCCCATTCTTCCCTTCATCCCCTTTTCAGACCCCATCTCCCAGTCTGTCCCCCCTTCCCAGCCCATTCCCCTCATCTTCAGCCACCCCAAAGTCTGCCCCGCTCCATTCCCTGATGGGTCCAGGCCTCACAGACAGAAGAGATGTCATTTTGAAGCAGGGGGAAGTGGCTGTGGTTTTACACAAGGACTGAACAATTGCAAACACTGCATCCACTTTACACCTGACGGACACTCCTCACTCCCCCCATCCTAATGAGCACACATGCCCCACAGAGACGGGGAGTCGCACCTGTGACCTTCTCCCATCCCAGAGAGTCTGGAGGGAACAGAACAGAGATGGAACTAGAACCCAGGAGTCCTGATTACCAGCTCTCCCCCACACAAGACACTAGAGCCCCATTCCTCTCCCAGAACTGAGGAGAGAACCCACAAGTCCTGGTGCACAGGCCTCCTGCTGTACCCCACCGACCCCACGCCTCTCCCACAGCCAGTCAAGGAAAGGACCCAAGAGTCCTGAGCATCCAACTGCTCCCATCCCCCCTGCCAGAGGGGTACTCGCTGGGCACCCAGGTGGAGGAGCCCAGCTTTTTCCAGTCCCTCTGGCTGGCACTTACCTGCGCACAGGTATAGGAGCAGAGGCAGGGGGTCCATCCTGTGCTCAGTGAGGGGTGTGTGTGGAGCAGGGATGCTCTTGTAGGACGTGAGAGGTTCAAGGGCACTACTTGGAGAAGAAGCAGCAGAGTGCAGAGGAAAGAGAAGTGATACCTGAAAAGAGAGAAACACTGCCAGGAGTGGAGGGGGGACTCAGGGTGTTATAGGGTGGGAACAGAACAGAGAAGACGGAAGGAAAAAGTCAACTACACTGAAACACCCAACTGGTCAGACACACACACAGCTGTATGGAGACAGATGAAAAACAAACAAATAAAACGATCAAACACACACACTCTGAACTGCGACCTCCCCTTTCCCTTCCCCCTCCCCCTCCATGCTAGTGGTCAGCTAGTCATTTCCCCCTCTCTCCCGGCCTTTGTAAATTCAAACACCCTCTAGTTTCAAATCTTGGAGAAAATACTGTGCACACACCTATCCTGAAACAAACACACATGCAGCCTGCCAAAAAGACAACTGGACAGAGACACAGACACACACAGCTACACTGAGACAGACAACAGATACACAATTGGAAACACACCTGCAGTGAGATATGCACACAGCTAAACAGACACACTCACGAACTCAGGGCTATACTTGGGCATACACAGAATATGCAGCTGCATAGGGCAGGGCACCTGAAAATTTGGGGCACCCCTGGGTCTTAATATCCACCCATCCGCCTCCTCCTATGCCTGTTTTATGGCTGCTGCAGCCTGGTGAGTCTTCCTCTGGAGGGGATCTAGGCCTTGTCTACACTGGCATGTTGGAGCGCATTAAATCAGCCCGGGACGCCATAACTCCTGAGGTGTCCACACTGGCAAGGCACGTAGAGCGCCCGGACCCCGCGGCTGGAGCGCCCCTGGAAATCCACCTCCATGAGAGGCATAGAGCTTGCTGCGCCCAGCTGAAGTGCTGCGGTGCCAGTGTGGACACCCTGTTCTATTACTGTGCTCTGATTGGCCTCCGGGATGTGTTCCACAATTCCTGTTCTAGCCACTCTGGTCATCAGTTTGAACTCTACTGCCCTGGCCTCAGGTGACCAACCGTCAGACTTGCTGTGATGGGTTTGGTCACAGTGATCCCCTTGGGACTGTCACCTGATGTGCTGAAATTACCTCTGAGCCCATTTCTCCTGGCAGCTTGGGATTTCCAGAACCCTGTCTTGTTGAGGCAGACACGCTAGCCTGCTCAACACAGATCTAGGGTTTGGGTCACGTCCGCAAAGCTGTAGACTTCACTGAAAACAGCTCAGCAGATTACTTGTCTCCAGCACCCAGACACCCAGCTCCAAATGGGATCCGAAGCCCAAATAAAACTGTTTTACTCTGTATAATGCTTATACAGGGTAAATTAGTAAATTGTCTGCCCTCTATTACACTGATAGAGAAATATACACAGCTGTTTGCTTCTCCAGGTATTAATCACTTACTCTGGGTTTATTAATAAACAAAAGTGATTTTATTAAGCATAAAAAGTAGGATTTAAGTAGTTTCGAGTAATAACAGACAGAACAAAGTAAGTCACAAAGCAAAATAAAGCAAAACACACACGTCTAAGCCTAATACACTAAGAAACTGATTACAGGTAATATCTCACCCTCAAAGATGTTCCAATAAGCTTCTTTCACAGACTAGACTCCTTCCTAGTCTGGGCCCAATCCTTTCCTCGGTACATTCCTTGTTAGATCCAGCAGACATCTCAGGTGGTAAACAGGAGTTTCCTCATGACTGGCAGCCCCCTTTGTCCTGCTCCACCCCCTTTTATATCTTTGGCACAAGGCAGGAACCTTTTGTCTGTGCTTGTCCCCACCCCTGCCTCATCCATGGAAAAGTACAAGGACTAAGATGGATTCCAGTATCATGTGATATGGTCACATGTCTCTGAGACCTCTACTGTCCATTCCTCCTGGGTTGGCCCCAAGGTACACAGGAAGGCTTGCAGGTAAATAAATAATTTACAATCAATTCTCCTAGTCAATGGGAGCCATCAAGTTCCTTATGCCCCATTGATGGCCCTCACCTGGTGTGACTACAACAGTGATACAAGTTTATATCTTATTTCCCTAACTCCAGACATAGAAATAATACATGCAAACAAATAGGATGAACACACTCAGTAGATTACAAGCTTTCTACTGACCTTCTGCATAAAGCATATTCCAGTTACATCATATTCACATTCATAAGCATATTTCCATAAAGCATAAGAGTGCAGTGTCACGCCGGCCCTTTAAATTCACTGGGAATTTTGAAAGTCCCCTTCCGTGGAGTGCTCTCAGCGTATCTTTCCAGGTGACCATGCCTCCATGCGCCAGGCGATCCCCAGCATGGAGCAATGCCGAGGTGCTGGACCTCATCGGCATTTGGGGAGAGGAGGCTGTCCTGTCCCAGCTGCGCTCCAGCCGTAGGAATTATGATACCTATCAAGGGCCATGACCGAAAGGGGCCATGACCGGGACACAGTACAGTGCAGAGTTAAAGTGAAGGAGCTGCGGAATGCCTACCACAAGGTGCGGGAGACAAACCGCCACTCCGGTGCTGCCCCCACGACCTGCCGGTTCTACAAAGAGCTGGACGTGATACTTGGGGGCGACCCCACCTCCATTCCGAAGAGCACCAGAAGAGCACTTCAGAAGACATGGCAGCCCAGAGTGCAACAAGCCAGGAGGAGGAAAGGGGGAGCGTGGGTGCTGAGGAGGAAGGGGGCCCAGAGGCAGAGGACGGCCTGGCATCCCTAGATGCACGCAGCCAGGAGCTGTTTTCAAGCCCGGAGGAAGCTTACCAATCACAGCATCCGGTGCTTAGGGAAGAGCAAACAGCAGAGGAGGCGTCCGGTAAGCGGCTTTGATTTTGTGACGGGAGTTGTTGTGTGCGGGCTGTTGGGGCGAGGAGGGTTGCAGAAAGAAGGCTTGGCTGTGTGCATGCCTAGATGTGGAATAGGACGTTGATTTACTCTCTCACATCGCGGTAATCGGCCTCAGTGATCTCATCAAAGGTCTCATGCAGAAGCTGGGCAATCCACTTGTGCAGGTTCCTTGGCAGAGTTACTGTGCTCCTTGTCCCAGTCAGGCTAACATGTCCGCACCACTGTGCCGTGAGGGGCGGGGGGACCATTGCTGCACACAGGCAAGCCACATAAGGGCCAGGGCGGAAGCCGCATTCTTGCAGAAGACCCTCCCTTGCTTCCCAGGTCACCCTCAGCAGCGAGATATCTTCCAGGATGAACCCAGCCTATGGAAAATGTGGTGACAGTGTTGAGTGTAGGGGCCCCCTGCAGCTGTTGGCTCTCCCCAAGACATAGGACTCCAGGGGACAGTACAGCCCTGGAACAATCAGTTCCCCCTGCCCCTGTGGTTACTCACCATTTTGGGGCTCTTGTGGGTTATGTGCGCTCGCCTTGGGACAGGCAGTTTGTGCTGTTGTGTGAACTGTGCTTGTCTTTAAGTTCAGTCGAATCATTACTCTGTCTAGCATTAACAATGCCGCCTCTGTAAAATGTTGCATTTTGGCCTCACAGCTGCAACCTTGAGATCCCAGCCGTCCATGTTCTCAACGGCTGAAAGACTGCGCAGCCTCAGGGAGGGCTGTAAAGAAGCCAGGAGGACCTTCTGCATGAAGTCCTGCAGCAGTCCCTTGCTGAAAATCAAAGATTACAGGAGTGGTGGGAGAACGAAAGGAGAGTCTGCCAGGAGAATGCGGATCGCCGGCAAGAAATCCACCCCTGCAAACTCCAACCCTTACCCACTGCACTCAACCTCCATCCCCATGCAGTTTTGCTGGCCTGAAGTGCAGCACCCATTGCACGGCACTCCAGACCGCAAGGCTGCATATGATACCTGGACATTGGCAAATCCGTGAATGTTCTGTCCCCACCCTGCCCTTCCCTCCTCCCACACAGCACAGAGGTGTCAGGCCATGTGTGTTTCTCCAGCAGTTGTGTTTCTTTTCAATAAATGGATTTTTTTGTTTTGGAAACATTTTTTATTGCATGAAGTAAAAGTGAGCACAGCCCAGGAAAGCAGCAGGCAGCCCGATTTAGGGACAGCACTGCTTTCTTTGAAAGAAGAGGGGGAGAGAAAACAATCCCCAAACACAGCTTGTTCCAGTTGACTCCTGTCGGTTAACCATGACCAACTTGATATCCAGTTCTGCGGTCACAAGAGAAAACCAACGACTAAACAGAAACTATGCTTTGCATGCTGGTATGTACGCACACTTCTTGACAGAGATGATCTCCATGAACTCAGGTCAGCAATGATTGGTAGAGAACTTGCACATTATAACATGGATGTCACAGCCTTAAGTGAAACACACATCTCTGGTATCAGCCAGTTTACAGAGGTTGGA